ACAACATGTTAGACCAAATGATACAACCAGCAATTACACAGCATCAAGCGCAGCTTAGAAAATGACAATTTGTGGTAGTTATTAATCTATCACATTTAACTATGTGTAGTATAATCCCCTGTGCCTCTGTAGTGCGGGACCAGGTAGCACAAGAGCCAGAGGGCGGGGGGAGGGAGAGTGGAACTAGGCCTTGGAGGCGCCCGTGGGGCTAAGCGGAGCGTTGGATGGGGGCCGGGGCTCCAAGCCACGCCTGGGACCTCACTGTGGCGTGGGCAGGAACCAGGGTGCCGCCGAGGAGCTTCACAGTGCTTGACTGATGCACGGAGTGAAGTTTCTTAATTTTTATGAACTCCAGTGTGTTGATTTGACCTTCGTGGGTCATGCCAAGCGTTTGATCATTTTACTTTCCAGGTCTGTGGTCTATTTTGAATGAACTTTTGTTTAGGGCCTGGAGGGTCAATGATCATTTGTGTATATATATATACATACACACACACACATATATATATGTGTGTGTGTGTGTGTCCAATCGTTCTGTTATTGAATCGTCTTCGTATGTAGGTCAAAATCCATCACAGCATGACTGTATTATTTCTGGATACTTTTCTTTTCCATTGTTCTGTAAATTGTCTGTCATTTACCAGGTGCCTGAGTTATGGAGGTTTATATTACATCTTCATATTGGGTAGTGTGAATTCTCCAACTTTTTTTTGTTTTTCAGATTGTTTGGCTGTTCTAGTTCCTCTACCTTTCAATGTAAGTTTTAGGATCCTGCTGGTTTTTAAAAATTAAGATAGTGTTGAATTTAGATCAGTGTAGAAAGAACTGGATGGGAATATAAAATGGTTCCCTTACTTTGTAAAATAGCCTGACAGTTCCTCAAAAGATAAAATAGTTACTGTGTTACCAGCAATCCCATCACTTAAGTATTTATCCAAGAGAAACAAAAATATAAACATAAAAACTTGTGCATAAAATTTCACAGCATCATTATTTATAGTAAAAAATGGAAGCCAAGCATGGTGGTGCAGATCTATGATCTGAGCACTCAATTTGAAAAGAACCCTTACGTTCCTACTTAGCTGAGTGGTTTTTTTTAAAGTTATGAATGAATGTGGAGATGTGCTGTGCTTCTCTGTATCTTTTACTCTGACCATGTCGTTTTTGTTGTTTAGTTTGTTAATAAAGTAGATTACTTAGACTTTTATCTTGTAGTCCCGGAAAGAGCCCCACTCAGTTATCGTTTGTTATTTATGTTATTTATTTATTTTAGTATGGGGCCTTTATACTGAGCTACCTTTCAGCCGTTTTATTTTTAGGGATACAGTCTTGCTAAAGCTAGGTTGAACTTGTGATCATCCTGCCTCAGCCTCCTATTGTGCTGAGGTTGGTTTTAATATTTCATTGAGCATTCTTTTTTTCTTTTCTGTTTTTTTTTTGAGATAAGGTCTTGCTTTGCACTTCAAGTTAGCCTCAAACTCGCACCGATCCTCCTGCCTCTGCCTCCCGGGTGCTGGGATTATAGGCATTTGTTGAGCATTCTATATGACCATTCAGAAGGACTTTTGATCCTCGAGTTTTCTTGTATTGGTTGTCTGATTTGGGCTCCTAAAATGAGCTGGGACATATTTCCTCTCTTCTTTTTTCTGGAAGAAATGTAGAGCTGATATGTTTTATTGAAATATTTGTTGAAATTCATCAGTGAACACATCCGGGCCTAGTGTCTTCTTCTTGGAAAATTTTAAATGACAGATGTGATGTTTTTAGCTAGCTACAGGACAATTCAGATTATTTGTTTCTTTGAGTAAGTTTTAAAGTCCTTTGTTTCTTTTGAGGCTTGTCTGGCTTCACCTTCACTGTGGGATAGGTGTATTGGGTTATTGTAGTGCTCCCTGTATACACATATGTCCTTAGATCAGTGATGATGCCCCTTCTTTTGTTGCAAAGAGATAGGAAAAAGAAAGCACTTTTCATGTTCTCACACACACCACTTGACACACTCCACTGTACTCCTGGTTGCCACGATGTGTGGGTTTTCCCACCAGCCAGCTAGGTGCCAGACACCTGCACTCAATTATGATGTCAGCTTCCCAAGATGAGGGCGATCGGTAGAATGAGACTCAGTTGAAGACAGTCCCCAGGAGTGACCTGAAGTTCCCATCGTCCTCATCTCAGGTCTGATTGGTTTGCTAGGGTGGCTCACAGAGCTCTGGTGTTGGGAGAAATGCTACATAATTTTAGGGAAAAATCATTTGGTTAGGCCTAGTTCTCCTGGCTAGAGCCCAGCTATGGCATTCTGAGACATAATTCCATTTTGGCCTCTGGTCACAACTGAGACCTCAGTGATCCGGTGATGCTGTGATGTTCCAGGACAAAATTACCCCCAGCTGGACGCTCTTACCACCGGTGTGCCTCGTCTGAGTCCGGAAATCGTCCTGGGAGATCCCTGTGCTGTCTCTTTTACTCCGAGTTTGTCTCACAGGCGAGTTCACCCCTGGATCCTATTCACATCCACATCGGGCACCAAATGTAGGGAACAGGGAAGGAGGAAGTTACTAGAACCTCTGCCAGCGAGTCCTAGTCTCCTCTGAGCCATGGCAGCACAAGGCAAATTAACTTATACAGGAAAGGTAGAAAAATGAGACTTGGAGAAGAAGCTGAGCTTTGGGTCTGATCAGTGCTGCTCTGGGCAGCAAAGACAAAAGACCCCGAGCTTGCAGCACCTTTTATTCCATACATCGGGAGAAAACAAATGTCAAATAAAATGCAGAGAGTTCAGTATCTCACATTGGGATAAACAAGATGTAACAAAAGACTGGGGGGGGGGGTTGGCAGAAATCCAAGAACAATGAGGAACTATGCAGATGAGGATTTGGTTCCTCCCAGGATGTCTCCTGCTGGTGTAATCTGGTCCTGGAGCATCACAGCATCACCAGATCACTGAGGTCTCAGTTGTGACTGGAGGCCAAAATGGAATTATGTCTCAGAATGCCATAGCTGGGCTCCTACAAAGTCCTGGGACCACTGGAAGAAATGAGGTGTTTGAGCCTGGTCTCCCTCGGGCTGGATGATTGCCTCTTGCCTTACTCACTTCTGAGTCACATTTCTCGAGACCCTCTTACCTGAGACAGCTCTGTAGATGGTGCTGACTGTATTTGTTACAGAGGTCGAGCAGGCCTGCATGGAGGCAAGACAGAACCGTTTCACAGAGTTGGCCACAACACCCGGACTCTGGACGCCCCACGCTGGCTGCAAGTGAGGAAGCAAACACCTGCAACATCAAAGTAAGCCCCAGCCCGTGTGGATGTGGGCGTACAAAGTGTCAGTGGTGCTGGATAAATCCTGAATTGGTTCATTACAGTCCAAAGCATTTTCCTGACCATGAAGTTCTTATTGGTGGGTGTAGCTGCTAACACAGACCCATAGTGTGCCTCTTTACAAGGAGGACAGTGCTGGTCTAGCAGTCAGGTTCCTACAAAGACAGGAAGTGAGAAACTTGGTTTGATGGTATGCAGACACTGTCTATACTTTTAAGCAGTGACTGTCTGCCACAAAGAAACCTGCCATCAACATGGCTTTTGAGTGTAGCTCAAACCAGGAGCCCACTAGAGGAAACAGATCAACAAGTTTCAGCACCAATTCTTGTGTGGGTTTTCTGGCTCCACACAGTTGTCCCCTCCCATGTCAGCCACTGAACCCATGCTGAGATCTCCTCCCCTGCCCTCTTTGGACCTTCCTTGGGGGGAGATTCACAGATCCTTCCCTGGGCTTCATATGGCGATCTGTGGTGAGCAGGCGATGAGCACAAGGTGGGTTGATCAATCCCAGGGTGGTTCCTGGCTATAGGTGTTGCTCAGAGCTGGCCTCTAATGAAATGCTACAGAAAGAGCCCGTCTGGCTCTTTGTAAAAGACAGCATATAAGTGTGTTTGCAAGGTGTGTCAACAAGATGTCTTTGTTTCCTGTGATGATTTTTTTTTAGGTGGAAAAATTGTATCTTCATTATTTGAGAGCAGAGAGCTTTAGAAAGGCTCTGATTTATCAGAAGAAGTATCTGTTACTGTTGATTGGTGGATTCCAGGATTCTGAACAAGAAACGCTCTCGATGATTGCTCATTTGGGGGTATTTCCTTCCAGAGCAGATAAGAAAATGTCCACATCTCGTCCTTTCACAAGGTTCCGCACTGCTGTCAGGGTGGTCATCGCAGTGTTAAGGTAAATGCCGCTGCAACCACTCCAGTGGGGAGCACCTACTCTTGGTGTTTAAGTGGCTTTATTCCTTGAAACTCTACAGTGTTTTCTCTCAAGTTGAATGACACTTGAAGCCTCAGAATACAGATGGCACCTGTTTTCCAGAAGTACTGTGTGAAGTTGCCACTTCTAGGACTCTAAGATTTAAGGGTGTCCTTTCATTATACAGAAAGGGTTATCTCACCCCTTCACAGACCTCATGCCAGGACTCTTTTTCCCAATAGGCACATCAAATGACATTTTAAACTGCATTTCATCCTGTGAATTTCAGTTGTTAGTATTTCTGTTAGATTTATGTCACAGAAGGGGAGGCTGGGTGCACACACACAGTATGTGACTCCCTGAGGTTGCAGCCAGTCTTGAGCCTATGCATGCTCTCGGGACCAGAGTGCCCAGTGACCCAAGCCCTGCCCACCCACCTCACCCTTGCTGCTCCCCTGGGAAGGCACTGTTCCCCTCTTTGGCACTACTGGGAATTTTGGTCATTTCAGAAGTAATAGTGTTGAAACTTCATTTCATTTTGTAATTTTAAAATTTTCAAAAATTTAAAATTTTCTAAAACATTTGCTCCACTAAGGACTGAGCAGCTGTCTCTGCTCCCTGATGTCCGAAGAGTCAACTTCCTGGGCCAGGGTGGGCCCACCTGGAGTGCTGGACAGAAGCAGAGGAGGCGAGGTTCCCACACCTCTGACTTCTGCCCACCACTGGCATCTGTTGTCCACTTACCCTTCTATCCATCCGACCCATTGGAAGGATCCCCTCTTCAGGAAGCACTTTGGTTGCTGGATGGGGGAGGTGGCCAGACCCACATATGGCTGCACGCAAATGCAGCTGTGAGCCAGGTGCAGGCCCCATGTCCCTGTGAGGGGCAGAGGATGCGCAGTGCCTTCTACATCAGGAGGAGGGAGCTGCTGCTATTCGGAGAGCTGTGCTGGGAGGCTGCCCTGACTGCCGGACAGTGGCATCAGGGACAGCATGAGGCCTAGAGCGTGCTGAAAGCCAGGTGGAGCATGCGTTGTCCCTTGTCACTGGTGCTGCACTTGTATGTGCAATAGCCAAGGCCTAGAGTCCAAGAGGCCTGAGCTAAGCTGTGTTGGGGTCAGGGTAGAACCAGGGTGGGATACAGCGGAGGGACAGATGACTTTGCGGGGGTGGTAGTCTTGGCGTGGGAAGGTTTCTGTGCCACATGGGAGCACAGGCAGCTTTCCACATGGCACTGGGTTGGTAGCCCATAGCTGACCCAGTGAGGTGGTGCTGGGTCGCCTGTAGTCAGCATGTCCAGCTTGGTAGTTTGCTCACACTGGGATTTGCGTTTCTCCTTTCATTCCTGCTTTGCTCTGGTTTAAAATGTGCTCCATCTCTTTTATTTGTAGGTTACGTTTTCTGGTTAAGAAATGGCAAGAAGTAGATCGGAAAGGAGCCTCACTCCTGCAAGGCAAAGCCCCCCACCCAGGTGGGACTCAGTTGCTGTTCACTGTGACTTGCAAGCCTCTCTTCCTACCTGAACCATTTACATCAGTGTTTTGACCGTTCCTCGATGAGAATGCAATAAAATAAAGCACAGTAGGAGAACTGGTAAATTCAGTCAGTGCAGTTGTCAGAGGCCAGAGAATACTCAGACCGAGGCTTCCTCAGAGGAGTTCAGAAGGCACAGCAGCTTGAGTGTGCGGAGTCTTTATGGACTAGCGTGCAGCAGGGTGTCCTTTTCCTCTCCACAGTTGTGCTCCAGGCAGCACAGCCTCCCTTTCAGACCCTTGTTGCTTAATTTTGGTCAATCAGATCTTGTCTGTGACATTCTGCTGCTGCCCACCCTGTGCAGAGCAGCCTTGCAAGAGCAGAGGGCTGAGTGGGAGGCAATGTGTTCTGCTGAGCCTTTGTCCCGGTCTCAAGGTGGCAGACATGAGCGTCCTTCCTCCTCAGCACAGAGGACACAGTGAGCCACGGCGCCCTGGGCTGACTGAGTCACTGCTGACTGCCATGGTGCCTGGGCCATCCTGGTAACTCTGTCAGTTCAAGCCATCTAGAAGCCTTGACAGCTAGTAGAGGTGGGACAACCCCCCATGTCTTACCCATAGCCCTGCAGAGCTCCCCAGCCTGAGCCCCCTGCTGGTACTGTGGGTTTGGCAAAGCCTTGAGAGAGTAAAATACAGGTAATCAAACTCAAGTTTCTCCAAAGGTTTTAAAAATATAAGTCAGGCATGGTGGCACACGCCTGTTATCCCAACATGTAGGAGGCCAAGATAAGAGGATTTAGAATTAGAGGACAATCTGGGCTATCCTGGTAAAACCCTGCATAAAAACAAACCAAAACCAAAAAACCCTCAAAGTAGAACTTGGGTACATTAAGTATGTTTTGAAATTGCCATTTAAGACTCCTAATAGCTTATAAATTTAAATTTCTTTTCCTAATCCTTTGGTTGTTAAATAATGCGGGGGGAAGGACCTCGAGTGCCACGGAAGCAGCTGTCTCTGCTGGAAACCAGAGAGTCCCCACCAACCCAGGATGTGCCTTCCCACCACGCCAGGGACTCTGCCTGCCGCTCCCCCAGTGGGAGGGAGAGGTCAGTTGTAAAGCGGCTGCTTCATCTTTGCTGCTCTAGTGAGGCAGGGAACACACCAGTAACCCATGGGGCCCGCATGGGGCTGGCAGGTGTGGTTCTGTCTGGGGAGGGCTCTTTCACATGCTCAGCCCTGGGAGTGTGTCAGGAAGAAAGGGAAAAATGGGGCCACCAGGAGACCAGGAGGAAGGGCAGCCAGGTGGAAGACTGGACAGTGGTCAGTTTTGCCCCAGGGAAGGGCAAGTGGACCCCCTTCAGGCATCAGCTGTGGGGCAACTGACAATAATTGAAAGATTTAGTGAATGTGATAATATACAATAGTTTCTAGTCATTTTAACTGTGAGACATAATGTAGATGTTGGTTTTTGTTTTGTTCTTTTGTTTTTGTTTTTTGAGACAGGATCTCATTATGTAGTTCAGGCTGGCCTCAAACTCATGGTGATCTTCCTGCCTCAGCCTCCCCAGTGATGGGATTATAAGTGTACGCCAGCACACCTGGCTAGATGTTGGTTTTTAAAGCGCTGTGTAGCACTTCCTAAAAACCTTTACTTTTTCTTTGTGATGAGAAAGGCTATGAAGTAAATAGCATTAGAGGTGACGGATGTCCCATGGGTCTGCCTGCTAACTTGCCATGGCGCCGTCTGTCAGACTCAACTCTTTTTTTCCTTTTTTACCCTTGATGTGGTGGTTTGTTTGAAGATCCAGTCCATCCCCAAGTTCAAGATTAGAAAGACCGCTGACTGCTTCTCAAGATCCAGAACATTCCTTGACAGAATATATTCACCATTTAGAAATGATCCAGCAGAGACTAGGGGGAGCACCACCAGGTAATAAAAATTCTTCTTGAATTACTTGTTAAAATAGTGTAACTGTGCCCTGGAATGTAAAGTAATGAGGTAAAGACTGCTGGTCTGCAGCTTAGTCATTGTCAGTTTCAGTCTTAATACGCACCTGTCTAACCCTAAGAGGCTTGCAGTAAAGAGTGGAAGTGAAGATGCTCAGAAAGGCGTGAAGGACTCAGCAGGGGCTTAGTCACTAGCTGAGCCTTTCTGTCCTTTCTCCTGAGGATTGTGTGGTGGGCCAGGGATGTAGCTCAGTGGCGCCCTGCCTGCCTGGCAAGCACAAGGTCCTAAGTTCGATCCCTGGTACCAAAAAAAAAAAAAAAAAAAGAGATGTGTGAGGTCTTGTAACAAATTGCCATCTTATTTTTAATTACATTTAGATTCTACTTCAAAGAAATCCTATCGCCAGAAGATTAAACAATGAATAAAGTCCTGTGGCTCTTAAGCTATGACAATTCTGTTTAAGGAAAAGCTGTTTTTCCAAGGAAATCATGGAGTGTTGCATAGGGTGCTCTTCACATGTCCATGATGCCATCCCCAAGTGCCACCAAGTATTCTTGCCTCTACGGAGTGTGCAAAGGCAGATGGAGCATTTTTCTGTGACCTCAGTACCTGCCACACAGCGGCTCGACTGTTCCGTGTCTGAGGGTGGAGCCTCCACCTCCACCTCCTCCAGGGAGCAAGATGGAATGGCTTCCAGTTGTCTGTGAAGGTGTCAGATAAGCACTTCACTTAAGTTTTAAAACACATTCAAGAAGGAAGGAATAAAATATAAACAATGTTCAGTTGTGATTGGCCTTGTGTTGGTTTTAGTTCATCCAGTTTGTTCTCATAGGCAGAACAGTAAAATAAAACTTAGAGTTTATATCAGGCTTCTCTAAGTCCACAGTTTGGAGTGGCCCTCGGTCATTCTCTGATTGTCATACAGCCTGCCACCGTACTTGGTCCATTTTGTTTCAGTAAGTCACATCCTCATGATGGTGGCTGTGTGTTTCACTGGTGCTCGTGCCATGTGATGACAGCTGGCCCAAGACCCCTTACCCAGCCATGTGCTGTGCAGACATGTTTAGTGACACGTTCACACATGTGTATGGATTCAGTAAATCTTTCAAAAAAGTAAATCTAGTTGGTGAGTAGATGATTATTTGAAAGTTTTCATAATGAAGAATGCAACCCCCCCCCCCCCCAAAGACCCTAAAACATCATGACCAACTACAATTTGGCCCGGGAATACTGTAATCTAATCCAGGGTTAATGTCAGAGAGCAGACTGGAAAACAGAAACCACTGGGTTGTTGAAGAAGGGGAACTGAATGCAAGGATTGGGCTCCTCTGATGATAAAGGTGAGGTGGCCCAGAGAGGAGCCACTGCGGAAGCTGTCATCTTGGTGCTGGAACAGTGAAACTGTTCTTTGGACTCAAGGGCCAATCCTGGGGCCCATTTACCAGAGGGACTCGGGAGGAGACAGACACATCTGCTGGAGATGGCTGTCCCTCCCCCTCCGTGAAAGAAGAATGTCTGTCTGCCCCCTGGCTTCCGAGTTACCAAAAGCAGATGGGGAACCTGAGACAGGCACCCTGTAGCAGTCTGTACCTTGCACACAGCACCGAGGGCCAGACATGATCTGAAGGCACACAGCAGATGACCAGCAGGGCCTACTCATTTGGCTCTTCTGCATTTGTTCTCAGCCTTCCACCTGTATTTCATCACCAAGAGAGAGGCTGAGGCACCTGCTGATAGGAGGGTGTGTGTCTCTTCCATAAGGAAGAAGATGCTATGTCTTCTCCAAGGCTGCGAGGTGTCTGTTGCAGTAGTCCAGGACTGGGTCAGGCCAACTGCCCTGTCCACCACCCAGTCGACAAGTCACTTTGGGTGAGGTAGTTTATGCAAAATGAGGCATTCCATGCTCAGATACCTAGGGCCACCCACACTTGCCATGAGGGTTTTCAGGTTAGAAGCAAGGATGGTGACTAAGGAATTTGGAAAAGCCTACAGATGTGTTTGGGACAGGAAAATGTCCACATTTACAGGTGTAGATGGGTGCACAGGGACAGCACAGCTGGCAGAACTTCACCCGAGCCTGAGCTGTGTCCGTATGGGCTCCTGGCCACCTGGCCTGGTTGAGTCTTGTCTCCCACTAGTTTCCTTTTCCATTGCTACTCAAAGCTACCAGCTGTGGGTTCCACAGTTCAATTCTTAAGTTACCCACAGTTAACACAGACCCACGGGATAGACTTAGTCCCACAAGACTATCTCTGTTTCAGTGTCAGAGGGCAGCCACAGTGGGGAAGGATCCCCAGGTGTATTCATCAGCTTCCCTGTCACTGAGACCCAATATCAACACCCACAACTAAAAAGGTTTAATTTGGGTTACATTTTCAGGGGACTGAGTCCATGGTTGGCTGGCTTCAAGGCAGAAACATAGTGGAAAGGCATGGCTGAGCAAAGATGCTTAGTACATGGCGTCTGGAAGTAGAGCAGGGGAACAGTGCCAGAGAGGAAGGGACCAAGGACCACATATAATTGGTCCCCAAGGTCACACCTTCATGACTGACCCAGATGCGTGAAAGTGTGCTTTACTACTCTGCTATGCTTTTCTTAATCTGAGCATGCTGACATAGGATTAATGGTCACACCAGACTACCCACAGTTCTGCCCACCCACCTACAAACTTGGAGGTTCTGAACAGTCTCCACCTCGGGTTGGGTAATTTGCTAGAATGATTCAGGAAAGTGCTCTGTTTAGGATTACTAGTTTATTATAAAGGATCCGATTCAAGAACAGTCAATGGAATTAATATGAGAAAATGGAAAAATGGAAACAAAGTCTTTGTAAATAGGGAAGGGTGGAGGGGTTGAAGGGAGGGCAGGGAGATGGGGAAAAAAATAAGAACCAAGATGCATCATGTAAAGGTATAAAATGATGAATGTCCTTATGTTGTATACCTAAAACGTACCAATAAAATTAAACAGCCAAGTGGGAGACATGTAGGACGGGGTGGACGTCTGCACCCTCTCCAGGCATACCACTATCAGCACTCAGTTGTGCTCACCAACGTGAAAGCTCCCTGAACTTTACTGCTCAAGAGCTTTTGTCAAGGCTCCATTATGCAATCGAGAATGATTAGATTTTGCCTGAATGCCTGAACGCCTAGCTTGTCATAAAATGATATATGAGAGGACCCAGGGGCAGAGAATATATATATCATGCCACACATATGCAGCACTTCCATGTGATGCGGGCTTGTGCCTGCACCCTTGATAGCTTGCTGGTCATACAGCACCCAGGGCATTATGGGCACTTGGAGCTGCCTATTAATTGATGTCTGTGGGTGTCTATTCTCTGCTAGGACCCAGGAGCAAGTCAGATGTTGCTTTTCAAATAGAATGGTTAGCAGAAGGTGGCAAAACTTTTGTTTTAAAAGCCTAGGGGTCTGCCTTATGGACTTTGAGTGGGACAGCATCCATTCAGCCTTAATTACAAAGGCAGTTTAGGCACTAGGAACTTCTAGGCCATAGGGTTGAGGAGCAGAACAGCTTGTATTAAAGCTGCAGGTCTCTTATGGTCCAGTTCCCACTTAACAGCCTAGAGTAGCACACCCATGTATGATATATGTTGTATTCAAAAGCCAAATAAGCTGAGCCTTGCATCCCTTGGTTGTAGGGAATACAACACTTTTCACGTTAGAAGGGATGTGATATTCCAGACTTGATCCCCAGAAACCGCTAAAGCGGCAGGCCCAGTTTTTCATGGAATTTATCTCCCAACATCTAGCACAGCTTAGTAAGGGATGTAGGTGCTTACTACTACCCGTTCACTAGGACCAATTTCCATGACCTCTTTAATGTAGTGGACAAAATGGTAGAAAGGTCTAAACAGCCAAGACATGCTGCTGGCTCTGCTGGATGAAACCAAGCTGATCATCTTTAGTAATGGGTAACAAGAAAACTGACAAGGGAACCAGACTAAAAATGCTGTATCTGATACACTTGCCTCACAAAAAAAATGATTCTCAAATGCATCATCACCTCCATTGCTCCTGGACCCATACCAAGAGTTGACCCTATTATAACCCAAGGGATCACAAGGCCTGCTGCAAGGACACAGTCTACCCCAAAATTCATAAAACTAGGATGTAAACAGCAGTCTTACATCAAAATTGGAGACAGTATATACAAAACTGCCTGGCAGATTTGGGAGGCCTAAGTAAATGACTCAAGGAGCTGTGACATTCTTGCTGCTGCTTCAGCACCTCAGTTCTTGTCTGTGGCCCCATGGGAAGTTCCCTATAACTAGCTGACAAGTATAGGAGTGCTCTACAGGGGGAGTACACAGGATGATTGCAGCAGCCAGCAATACACAATTGCTACATTACAGCAAGTTCCATTAGTAGGGTCCAGAAGATTAAAGTTGGCAAAACTAGCTGGTACAGCAGGTGGCCCATCTCATGTGCAAAGAAGAGTTACTATCTGCAAACCATTGCATTCAGGGGGAAAACTGTCCAAGTGGTTGATGACAAGAGAAAAAGATCACAAAGATTAGCCCATGTTTGCAGTACACAATGATCACATTCCTTGTAGAGAGTATGTACGTGTACATAACACACCTTAATTCTCTCCTTTCCCCTCCTCATCTCCTGGTCCCCTTCCTTTTTTCCAAAAGATTTATCTCCATATTTCCTATTATCGGTCCTTTATTTTGGTCTTTAATTGTAATGTGGGTTTCTCATGTAAGAGAAAGCATGTGATATCTAAGCTTGTGTGTCATTTATTTCACTTAACATTATGGTCTCAAGGTGCATTTTCTGTTTTGCTGCAAATAACTCAAGTTTATCCTTATGGCACAGTGGTATTCCACTATGTATAAATACCACACTTTATCCATTCATCTGTTGATGGATATGTAGGCCACTTCCAAGATTTAGCCATTATGAATTGTGCTTCTTATAAACATGGGTGTATATGTATCACTGTAATATAATGTCTTTAAGTCTTTCAGGAAGACACCTAGAGGGGAAATAGCTGGGTTGAATGAAATTTCTAGTTTTAGTTTTTTGAGAAATCTACATAATGCTTCCCATAATGGTTATACTAGTTTATATTCACACCAAGGTTCCTTTTTCCCTGCAGCCTCACCAGCATTTGTTATTATTTGATTTCTGGATGATAGGCATTCTTTCTGGATTAAGATGAAATCTTGGGGTTGTTTCAATTTGCATTTCTCGAATGACCAGTGATGTTGAACATTTTTATGTATTTATTGGGCACTTGTACTTGTGAGAAGTGTCTGTTCATTTCAGTTGCCCATTTTTTGATTGGGTCTTTTATTTTGGGGGTCTAAATTTATTTATTTTCATTACATGTATCCAGTACCTAATGCTTACATTCATCACGGGGAGTTGGTACATGTATATAACATATCTTCTTTTTTTCCCCTTCCTTCCCTTCCTGTTCCCCTTCCTATTTGAACATTTTCTTCCTACTTCCCAATATCTATCATCCATTTTGGTCCCTATTTGTGCTTTTGGCTTCTCACACAAGAGAAACAGTGCAATATTTAAACATGAGTCTGATTTCACTTAAAGGTGCATCCATTTACCTAAAAATGTCTCAAGTTTACCCCTTAGAGCAAGGTAGTACTCCATTGTATATAAAAACCGTATTTTCTTTGTCCATTCATCTGTTGATGGGCATCTGGGCTGGTTCCAAGATTTAGCTATTACAAATCGTGCTGCTTTATACTGTGGTATAATGCTGTTAACCCACTTGCTTCTGAGGAAGCAGATGACGCACAGGAGAGGAACCCAGCAATGGCAGTAGCTAGGCCTGGATCACTACTCCTCTAGACACATGGATCTTCTTTCACCTTCAATTCACACTCCATGTCCAAGTGACTCTGCTTGCAACAACAATTGTCCTGTCCTATTTGCTGTGGCCAGCAAAGCCCCAACTTGCACCAAGTCTCAGCTGCAATGACCTATCTCTTCCTGGCCAGCTTAGCCCCAAGATTAGTTTCAAGGAAGTCCACAGGACTGTTTGGAATAAGTCAAGTTTGGGGACTCACTGCTGCTGTTGGCAACATGTCTATCCCAAGCTCATTTGTGAAAATGCCCATTCATCCTGTAGCCAGGACCACCTTGGTTCATCATGATAAAGATGAAATTTCAATGGAGAAAGTGAAGGCAAAGTTGTGGAG